GGAAGAAATTTTCTGTAGTGAAACTGTGAGATTGTTGCTTAACTAGGCCCTTACTGCACTAGCATCTTTTTGGGTGACTAGTCAAGTGGCCATCTGTGCTTCAGATTCCCTTCTGTGAAATGGGAAATACAATTGCCATCTTGACAATGCAAGGGGAGATATGATAAAAAAAATAATATTTACTGTCGTTTCTTAGAGGGAAGATTGTTTCTGTAGGTGTATTTCTGTGTGTTTTCTTAAGGTCAGAACGTGCAAGACAAGCCTGGTTTTCACTCCTGTTCCTGCCACATATCTTCTCTAGTTACCCCAGGTAAGGAGTTTAACTTCATTAACCTTAGAAAGAAGGTTAATAAAAACTTCCCCACCTCCTGGTAAGGTTTCAGCCTTGCCAGTCAATAACTCCACAGCCTGCCAAGCAAACTGGTGCAGTGATTCCAGTCTGCACGGGCTCACCTGCAGCTGCAGTAGGCCGTGTACATAGATAGTGAAGATTTTGCTGTTACTTTCCAGACCAGCGATGACTTCCAAAGACCTAAACAGTAGCAAAAGAAAAATAAACAGGTTAAACACCTGAGGCAGCCACAACAGTTTTACGTGGAACGACGAGAGTCTCATGACATCCTCAGAAATAGGGCTGGGTGATTCTAGTGCCCGTCGGTACTAAGCAGGTGGCTTGTTGACTTCATTCTAGCAGTAATCAGCTGCTTTGAAAAGAGAACAGGACAATCTTGGCCTCACCAGAGAGTCCGAGGGAAAACCTACAGAGCACACAGGATTGTGAACGCGAAACTCAGCTAGAGGCAGGAACGGGGAGCCACCTTCTCTCACGGAGGCCTTTCTCATGGTCGTCTTAGTAGGAGATGAATTGTTCTGCCTTTATACCTGCTCTTCCTTATTTATGTAGGAGTGCTGTCCTGCCAGCTAGAAGCTGTCTCAAGCGTGTAGTCAGACAGTCCTGAGGAAGACTCAGCCTAAATGGTGAAGGCTTCAACCTCCCTCGCTTTACTTCTCTCCTTGGAGAGGACTAAGCCTCCACCTCTGGTGCCTGGAAGCCACGTGCCCCTCTGCTCTAGCCAGCAGAGAGAGAGCTGCTGTCAGACTCGGCACCGGGGAAAGAAGCCAAACGAGCAGAGGACACAAACACTGTGGCTCTTGAGGTGTCCCAAGCTCATTATCACCACTGGAAAGTTCGTGGGGCTATTGTTCAGCTCTTCTTATCCTCAAGATAGAGGGTTGTCCCTTCAGGAGCTTTCCTATGCATCACCCAGGTCTTTTTACCAAAAGACTGTTTTTTTTAAAGTCCTTTAGCTCTGGATACCACCGGGCTGCAGTTCTCTTGTACCCTGGGCCTTCAGCCAGCAGTCAGGGCGAGCATGAGATTGTCCGTCCAGCACTAAGATGGGACAGAAGGGGTTGAAACAGCCAAGGCTCAAGCTGAGACTGGGCCTCCCAGTGCTGAGGTGCAAGTGTACAGAACTCATGACTAACATGGACACGAGCCGCCTGGCTGGGCTGTGCCCAGGACAAAGCCTCTGTCAGGCTTCTGTGCTGTTTGGAGTGAGGAGATTAATGGTGTGCGAAGCAAAGTTTCAGTGCTCCTCTGTAGTCATAAAATTTATAGTCCAAGAAAATTTAAGAACTTAGGAGGACTGAGTTCAGTACGAAGAAGTTGTTTATAACAAAATAAACCTCATGTGCTTGAGCCTATGGTTTAATGGCCAAGTGTGTTAATCCCACCCAGTGGCAATGGTTATTTGTGGCATGAAAGGGGAGAAATCTAAGAGGCACAAATTAAATTGCTGGTTTTTTGTTTTGTTTTGTTTTGTTTTCTGGGTCCAGCATGTTTAGGGCACTATCTGTACAAGCTCAGGCAGGAGGATATGATGGGGCCGCCTCGCTGCTGAATAGAAATCAAACAGTTGTTGCATTTTTATGCTTTAGATTTTCTAAGAAGTTTAGGGCTTCAGGGAAATTGGAGGTGAGGAAAAGCATATGTAGTCTTTGCAGAACCAGCTTCCTACCCTCATTTTTGAGTTCTGAGATTGAGATCAGAACTCAGTTTTGAGTTGAGATTTGCCACAGAATCATCTTCAAAAAGTTTCGAACATTAATAACTTGTACATGCAGACACAATTCTGTCCAGGTTCAAGAGCACTTTCAAAAAGGTTATTGTGACACCCCACACAGATCAGTTAATATTTACTAAAACGTTGCTGCCTTCCCCATCCCCTTGCTCGCTTCTCTCCCAGCCCCTTCCTCTGAAAAGGCCTCACTCGATCTTTGCAACGCTCTACACCGAGCTTTTTGCTGCGTGTACAGCTCAGATTGACAAAGCTAACGCAAATGTAACGGTTGGACTAGATGATCTTCAAGGTCCTTTCCAACCTAGATGATTCTGTGATTGTGAAATCAGCATGGTTCTATTAGGGTTACTTTTCTATGCAGATCTCTCTCAAATGATGGAAATATGTTCACGATCCTGAGTTTTGAGATATCTCACACGAATTTTTCTTACCTGAGAGCTTCTATTTCTAAGATACTGACACTGAATTTGATGCCCCAGTCCCATCTGACTCTCTGGGCTCAATATTCTCCTCATATACTGGGCTGCTCTGGTTGCTCCACTTGCCCCTCACACAGGCTGCTCTGTAAATAGATTGCTTTGCCGCTTAGCTTATGTTTCAGGAATAATAAACCAAGGCAGCCTGGGATGAGCACTGACTGCTAATTTCAATGTCTATAAAAGTGATTATCTTCACTCATCATTCCTTACTCTAAACAGTCCAGCTGTAAGTTTTCAGTTTCAAGCTCAAGTTGTTTGCTTAGTGAGATGGTAAATGTCCTAACCTTGTGCTTCTGGAACACTCCTCTGCCCTTGTCTCACAGGGCTAGGCCAGGTCGTGTTGCTAGCAGGAGTTTTAGCTCTGTCTATGTTGGGTGCCCTCCCAAAACATGCAGGTAACTGTGGTGTGTGAGCCTGATGGAGAGCCCGCTGAGGCTGGTGGAAAAAATCTGTCCAAAATGCCAGCAATTCATCCCAGAGTATAGGTGTTTGGCCTAGTTCAGGGCTTAACTCCAAAATTACCTTTCGGGCGTGTTTCTGCTGGCATGGCTGCTCTAAGTTTTGTCCTGTGCCCTATATTGACAGCAGATTGCTGGGTTGTCCTGATCCTGCTACTTTACTCCCGTGTTTACCACCATGCTAGCTGGCTCGGTAGGACGCGGTGCCGTGCTGGATCAGGCTTTCATAGGTGGAAGCTGCAGTGAATTCTTTCCATTTAACTCACACAGTGCCTCGGAGTAGCTCTTGGACAGGCTGAGTTCCAGTTAGGAGCTGAGCAAAGCTACCTCTGCAACGCCAGGACTGTCCACTTTGCACCCTTGCTCTCTCTGCTAACTGCTTCAGACAAGTAAAAACAATCTTCCAGGCTCTGAGATTCCAGTTGCAGGCCCTCTGTGAATATTTTCCCTGGCTGGGAACTGACAGGTTATGAGGTTTTAAGTTCTATTCAAATTTCACGTTTTGTAAATGATTTCGATGCCACGCTCCAGGCTGACTCCTGGGGTATTTATGTTGGATTAGCAGCAGATTGCCTGCCTTTCCTCACTCTATAGAAGAGAGCCCAGCACATGTAAACTCCCCTTGAATGGCAGGCTATTAACTGTCAAGCAAAATGCTTAGTTTGTCATGTAAAGCTCCTGTTATAAATAGGCACAGGTTATAAATCAGTCCTGAGAACAATGATGAAATCAGAGAGACCCTTTTGAAGCGTCTCCTAGGAGAGAAGCCCGCAAACAGAAGTGAGCAACAGAACGGGAGTTAAATGCCTAGTCTTCAAAGAAAACTCAAGGGTAGTATGAACACCATTCTGAATTGATGACTGTAGTAAAAAAAAAAAAAAAAAAAAAAAAAAAAGTTAAATTCTCAATGTAGGCATTAAGACTCTACGATGTTTAGAAATGAATACTACATAGTTTGGCACGCTAACTACTGTGGTAGAGAGCTCCCTAACAGCAGACTCCAAGGAGCTGAATCTGTTAAGGTTTCCCAGAAAGTTAAGGAGGTGG